AGTAAGTAATGTTAGAAAACTTTAACCTTTGTGCCAGCAAAAAAAAAATAATGTAGTGTCAAAAGGACAGTTTTTCCATTGACACCGCTATTATTTTAACTACCTTCACTCCTCGGTAATGTTTATTATTTTAAAAAGCGATAATTAGAATTGTAATTGTGATGAAAAACATGACTTACCTCAGAATTCAAAACGAGTGCAAACGTGTCTTGCTTGCAAAGTGATGACAAAAAGAAATATGGCTGCTATTGAAGACACAATTTATGCACGCCGATCTCATCCAAAACGAGACAATATTTGCAAACATGCAAATTTCGTCCGTATTAGAACGGCATAAAAAGTGGGGTGCCAGGAGCACAAGTGAACTGGGAGTCATTCGGCAGACTGCATGCAATAGAGCTGGACGTATGAATTGACAGACGAACAAAGAGTAAGTCGAAGTAGTTGTGGCTGAGTTTGGTGTCTCACAACTGCCCAGTGTAATGGCTGAGAAAGAGAGCCACGCAATCCATTTCCTTGAGGTGACCGAAGAAAAATAAAATCAGCTGGCCTGCCGGCAAGTGCTGCATTTTTTTTACTCCTCACCTCATCACCATTGTTTTTTTTTTTTTATTACAATAATAAAACTTAAAACATATGATGAAAGTGAATTTATACATTTTTTTTGTTCTTGAGTGTTTATAATATTAAACACTATTTGTTTATTAGATTCTTTATTTACAAGAACAATTTTATATTTACAATATTCTAAATACAATGCAATATTTATTGTCAATTTTTATTCATAAATTTATAAACAATTACTAAATTATAAAAATATGTGAACCAACTATAATGAAATCATTATTTACTATTTTATAAAGTTCAAATTGATTGGCAATTAGTCGATGTTTTGCCAACCATTCTAATAAACAATCTAACAAATAGTGCTTAATATTTTTTGTTTTCTCAAGAACAAAGAAAATGTATAAATTAACTTTTGTGTGTTTAGGTTTTCTTAAAATTCTAATCATTGCTTTTTAAAACAATAAACATTGCTGAGGAGTGAATGTTGTTAAAATAATAGTGGTGTCAAAGGAAAAACTGTTTTTTTGACACACTGTTATTTTTTTGCAGGCACAAAGGTTTTGTGGCCTGAAGAAGGGGACTGTCTTTATGGCTGTTGAAACCCCACTAGATCCTGACTTGCTTGTTTTCCATCACCTTCTCCAGCTTGTGGCTCTACCATTTCTGTTTGACTTAAGTCCATTCTTCATATATAGGCATGAATGCACATGAGAGGACACTTGTATTCTCTCTGCACAAGCACCCCACAAGCACTAATGATGTGGGTGGCATTTTTCACCTCCTTGCACTTGTTTGAATCCACTTGGTGGGAGATGTTCTTAGAGACAGAATTAATATTTAGGTCCTGTGTGGCTTTGATTATCTGTATCTGTATCTTGACTTTCCAGATTTCAATTATCTAGATGTGAAATGAAAAGAAAAATTGAAATCATCTGAACATTTTTCAATTATCTAAATTGTAAATGGCATAGCCACTCAAATCCAAGGATGCCAGTCTACTTGGGTGGCTAGCTAATCCCCATTGCAGATGCCTGTTCAGGCACATTTGTGTTTGTTCAACACCCACAGAGCCCACCTGTGGTTTATATTGTAACTATGCTGATCAGACCTTTCTGAGAAAGAGCATGATATCTAGCGTGATCAACAATTTGAACAAGGCCAGCACACTCAATGCTTCGGTCATGATGACTTGTGACTTCATGTTAGCACAACCACTGATAGCTACCCAATTTCATTCACAGGGCTTGGATCAACCTGTGGTATGGTTTTCAGGCAGTTTCCAAAGGTATCGCATGCTGGTATTGCCTCTTTCAGACTGATAGCATCAACAGTTCACCTTCCTGACTAATCGGCCATAATGAGATTTGAACACGAGTTTGATGATCAGAAAGTAAACGTTCTAACCAGTTGGCCACATAACCATATCCAAACTAAGCCCATTCTAATATTTCATCTCAGGCATAGCATTTTGAGAATTGAGAAAACCATACCCAACATCTGATAAAAACACTGATAAGATCCGTTCAATTAATTTCTGTTAATTTCCTCATTGTTGTGCAAAGGACATACATTTAAATTATCACAGCTTGGTCATGCCAGAAAAATAGTTTATGCAACTCTCAGGTGCATGCAAGCAGATAAAAATCGACTTTTTTTTTCCCTAAACAGGAGAAAAACCTTGAACAAAGCATTTGAAAATATTTGATTATATAAATGCTTATTTTTCTTTAAGAAAATGATTCTTTTTCATTAATTTATGTATTCGGTTATAGAGAATGTTGAATTATCTAAATATTTTTTAACAAAAATTGATAGCATATATGATATTGCCAATTTTGTTAAACCCAGATTTTAAATATTGATTCTGGATAAGGCATATAGGCAAACATTAACCACTTGGATGTTTGTCATCAAACAGTATCTACCTTCCCCT